GAGAAAAGGACAATTTGATCCTTCAGTACTTAATTTTCAGAGAACTGCTTTCCTTAATCTTTATTCTTGGTTTGTTTTCACCTGGGAAGAGGCTTGTCATTTTAGAAATACATGTTTAATCACATGGCAACCTAACACAATGAAAGGTTGGAGAAAACAATTTCTGGTCTTGGATTACTTTGTGTTTGGGCAAGAAGATTACGTTACCGGTAGCATTCAAATATGTTTGAGTATGTGTCTGCCACAGGAACTTCAGTAAACTCATACAGCCTGACTGTACATTGTAAGGGGGGTGGGTAGGAACCACAGCCATCCTGGTGTTCATGCAACTAAAGGGTCGCCTTTAGAATTCTTACAATGTTACAAATGGACACTTCTGGCTCAGGTTATCTCACCAGTGCTGGGCTCATGCCAGAAGCAACACGTCTAACTATGGTCTATTTTCACATCCTTCAGTGTCCATGCTGTAGAAGACTAGAAAACTGATTCACATGCGAGCTTTGAACACCCCGTTATTCCCAGTGTATTTAACAAATGGGCTAATTCGTGCATCCTCTGTACTCTCATTCCCTGCGTATCACTCGCCATCTTTCTTGTTTTAGGTTCTGATTTAATAGAAGTTTTTTGGCTCTGCAAATGTGATGCTGAATGCCTTTGCGAATCCTTTCCTGACTTTTTGTCTTTCTCCTAGCTAGGCAGGTATAAACTCTCACTAAAAGCCTTCCCCACCTCTAGCACTAAGCTTTGTTCACGGACCTCATTCTCTGTTCTCTTGAAGCACTCTGTTCTACATAGCTATTCTGCCAAACCAACTGTCCTTGGAACTAATGAATCACAGATCCCTTTTCATTCAGGGTATTAAGGAGTATCTTAAGGCTTAACATTTTAGGAAATTATTGGACTAGATTTCAAGCGGCATAAAACCAACAAGGGTGATCAGAAAAAAAAATAGTGCAGCCGAATGCCTTGGACAATGTGCCCATAAATGCATGCTGCAATGAAAAAATTTGGACAAGCACAGAAATAATGAGAAATAAGTGTATAATATGTGTCGGATATAGCATACCAAGGAGTCAGAGAGCATCATCACTTTATTACCACCACTAATGAATATTAAATATATATGTTAACATATCTGGGTATAGATGTGCATAAAAGTTAACCACTTATACAAAGTTTGCTGCTATGGGGTCAGTTTTTCTCATTGCTATATTGAAAGTATCTAATACATTGATTGAAATTTGTCAGAGGTGGGTAGGGAGGGCTAAAGTTATAGAGGAGAAAGAAATAATAAAGGTATATAAAGAAGAGAAAGAGACACACACAGAGAGAACACGCAAAAGAGCACAAAAGCACACACATACACACTGCTAGGGTTCATCATTTTCATGAAAATTTTGTGTGTGTATGTATGAGTGGTGAGTGTGTGTATGAGTGGTGTGTGTATGTATGAGTGGTGAGTGTGTATGTATGAGTGGTGAGTGTGTGTATGAGTGGTGTGTGTATGTATGAGTGGTGAGTGTGTGTATGAGTGGTGTGTGTATGTATGAGTGGTGAGTGTGTATGTATGAGTGGTGAGTGTGTATGTATGAGTGGTGAGTGTGTGTATGTGAGTGGTGAGTGTGTATGTATGAGTGGTGAGTGTGTGTATGAGTGGTGTGTGTATGTATGAGTGGTGTGTGTATGTATGAGTGGTGAGTGTGTATGTATGAGTGGTGAGTGTGTGTATGTGAGTGGTGAGTGTGTGTATGAGTGGTGAGTGTGTATGTATGAAGATTTGGTCATTTGAAAGGCAGACAGAGACACAGACTGAGAAAGACACAAACATAGATCTTCCAGCTTCTGTCACCACATGTGTGCAACAGCCCTGCCTGAATCAAACCAAAGTCTGGCACCTCGAATCCATCAGGAACTCTCCTGGGGCAAGACAGCTACTTAATCATCACATTCTATTTCACTGGGTGCTTATGAGCAGGAGCCTAGAGTAGAGAATAGATTCAAACCCAAAACATCTGTCGTGGGATACAGTCCTTACAAGTCTCTAAAGAAACGGGAGTCGCTTCTTCTCTGTGGCATCCAAACCCACCAAGTTTATTATTTTTCTCTCTTTCTTCTTCTCTTCTACCTATACATTGTCTTTCCATCTATTATCTATCTGTCAATCTAGAAAAACACACTTGAAGTCTTGCATGGAAAAGAAAGCAATAATGACTAACATTAATTTTTTTTCTTAATTTCATAGAACTTGAGCTAAATTTAAGGGAGTAATGGTACCATACTAACTTTTTTGCATTGCCCATAAAATCCAGACTCAGCTTGAAATTCAATTCTTCATGCAGACATTCCTTGATGACAAAAAGGAGTGAGGAAATGTCAAATCAGCGCTACCACAAAGCAGAGTAAATACCAATGCTTCCATTATTGTTGTGCCAGTAGAAGTCTCACATATTTCCTGTCTGCTTTGATCTTCAGCTTTAAGAATGCCAACCACCTATAACCTGCCTGATTACTCGAACATGTTTCTTCATGATTACTCAGCGGGACTTAAGGTCAAGGTGGGTGGGAGAAGTAATTGAGGAATATCTGTAACTAATATAAAACAAAATCTTGAAGTTGGAGCCCACAAACATTAAGTATGCCTTATTCTTCAACAAAATTTAAGGCGAAGAGAGATCATCCTTATTGATAATATAATTTCAGAGGGATAACTCCAGGCTTTTGAGGAAATAATTCCTTGGTATAAAAATGGCAAAAGCCTTTTAAAAAGGTTGATCCAACGTCAAAAAGGTCAGGACAATAATTTCCAATCACAACCCTTTAAAGATAATTTTTTTCATCAAAATGAAGAATAATGCCTTGAGTGGGGCGGGAGCCTGCTCACAGTTGACTCTGGTTAAGAAAGTGTTAAAGCAGCTTGGTCAACAGAGGACAGAAAGCAGGGTTGGCTATTCTTGACCAAGTGTTTTCGCTTGCTTTCCTCTCTGTTCTGCTTTTCTTTCCAATTACTCAAAGTCATACTTTTTCCAAATACACTGAAAGCAAATATATATATATATATATTTATTATTAAAATGTTTAGAGAATGAAGATTGGACAAAAAGATAAACTTTGTTGAAGGATTTTTTAGAGTTTCACTATACTAATATAATCCAATGGATAATCTCTCTCTCTCTCTCTCTCTCTCTCTCTCTCTCTCTCTTTCTCTCTGTGTATGTATGTGTGGTTAGGTCTGTCTCTGTAACTCTGACTTCCAAGTAAAATGAAAACATTTTCAAATAACTAACACAAACACATACAAAACAAGAAGAAATACTGTAATTTGCTTTAGAATCAAACAAAGAATGATAACTCAAGAAAATGCTGGTTTTCTAAAACTGTTGGTAAGTTATTTCTCTGTGTCATGACATGAAGGAGTAATTCTGAGAAAACTAAGAAAAATGTCTTACTTGCACAGTAATTTGCCAAAAAATATTTGCTAGAACCTAGTCATGTTGCCTTCATTTTCTCAAGTTGTGTTCTCCTTTTCTACATATAATACAAAATGCCAAAAGTAGTATGTAACAGTACAAATAAATAATTACCATTTAATATTTCTTCTATTCTATATACCTTGGCTGGCACTAAGCTATTTTTAAGATGATAAAGAAATGTATGATCTATCTTATCAACTTGGATTCTAGTGAGATCATTTGAATCAAGAGTAAATTTATTCATCAAGTAGCCAAACAATGTCCATACAAGTTTAATTTCACTGTATGATTAAGATGATACTCGCCACTACGGCACTCATTCCATGCTAAATTGGAATTATTTGTTTCTGAAAAGCAGTCTTGCATTTACCCTTCAGATAATCACTTTGTGGAAATATTGAATTTAATTTGGAAGATAATATCCACAAAATACATGCAAGACAATTCCCCTTTTATACCAAGATATGCTAAGTTTGGTGACTGATCTGGAAAAAGCACAATGGCCCAATGGAGATGGACAGAGGCCTGGCCAAACTGCAACTTCTTTCTCACAGTCACAGCCACACAGTCTAGTAGAACTCCTTCCTCCACGAAGGCAGGACCAGCAGAAGCATTGGGTTGTCCAAAGCCAGTCATTCTTCTTAAAGTTGCATCATTATAAACACCATGAAGTTATTTTAACATCATCAGAACAAGAGCCCATTAGCGTGGACAAAACATTTCATGGTGCGTGATCACATTGCAGACACGTGCTCTTCACTATGGGTGCTGGGCAGCAGGTTGGAGACAGAACAGCATGGGAACCACTGAGGCATTATTGTACATGTGTAGAATGGCTGCTAGGGGCTTCCTCGGGCCAAGATGCTGCATTTGATGGTGAACAGGAGAGCCAGGCTGGGGGTGGGCCAAGTCAGGCCACTGTCTCTACCAGTGCACAGGACAGCCAAGCCTGGGATCCAGCCTGGCAGGGGTTCTGAAGGTCTCATAGTGAGAACCAAATCACAGCACTCTAATATGGGACATGGGTGTCCTAACAGGTGTCTTTCTTTTGTGAAAATTCATGGAAAATGTTTGTTTTTTAATTTTTTTAAATTTTAAAAAGATCTATTCATTTTTATCAGAAAGTCAGATATACAGAGAGGAGAAGAGATAAAGATCTTCCGTCTGTTGACTCACCCCCCCCAAGTGGCTGCAACAGCTGGAGCTGAGCCATTCTGAAGCCAGGAGCCAGGAACTTCTTCCACGTTTCCCACACAGATGTAGCATTCCAAGGCTTTGAGCCATCCTCGACTGCTTTCCCAGATGACAGGCAGGGAGCTGGATGGGATGTGGGGTGGCCAGGATTACAACAGGCACCCATATGGGATCCCGGCGCTTGCATGGTGAGGATTTTAGCCACTAGGCTACTGTGGCAGGCCCAGAAAACGTTCATTATGAAAACATTATGCCTTGATTTAAACATGCTTCCCACCAAAATCACTTCTCTTTTAATCACGATGCTTTCATGAACATTTTTTATTATTTAGCAGAAACAACATGGAATGTTTCACAAATTTGCGTTTGTTTCATCCTTGTGCAGAGGCCATGCTGATCTTCCATCATTTTAATTTTAGTGTATGTGCTGCAAGGTGCACTTGCTAAGTGACTCCAGTGTTACTATTTTTTAGAGCATCCAGGCAGGAGAACCAGCACTACACAGAGCTATGCAATAGCAAAGCGCTTGATAGCCAGTTCCATCTAAGGAGACCCTCTTAAGTGAAGTAGGCTGAGGCATGCTCGCTCATGAGCTTGGAAGTTGAGCGACAGTGAGTCAGTGAGCACACAGCAGTTAGCCCAGCCCTGCTCTCACCTTCAGCTTCTGCAGGACTCAGTGCACTCCACTTGGGACACGCAGAGTGGCAGCAGTAGCACAGGCATGGCTTATTTAATGAAAAGACATCCATTCTTACTTCCATAATTTTGACAGCATTTTTGTGAAATTTGATTGAATCTCAGCAAGATTAATCCGTCTCCAAATTGCCTTAGCTTTGGTTGTATTTACTGTGTATTATCGTATTGTAGATTACTTTTTCCTGTTTTATCTTCCTTTATCCTTAATCGTCAGGCACCTCTGCCCAGTTGCTGGCACTTTGTAGGAAGACAGTTTTGTGACTGGGTATTAGAGTGGCATTCTTTGCAGGTTTGATCTCCAGGACATGCATGGATCCGTTTACTTCTTCGTCAGTCACTCACTCTTACACTCCTCCTGTGACCCTGAGCAGGGTTCCATAAATTTACCTCTGTCTGCTGGATGTATTGATTGTCAAGTCACTACTTTAAAACGATCAAGCCTTTCTATCACTTCAAACCAGGCACCAATTTTCAGCTATGAGAGGCGCATTACTGGTGCCTGCCTTCCTACGGAATCTAGTAACCATCCCACCTTAATCTTTCCTACAGGATTTTTGTCTCGCTATTGTGGTTCTTCATCTGTTATTTATTTCTTTTCTTAAAAAAAAAAAAGATGTATGTATGTGTTTTGGAAGGCAAAGGTATGAGAGAGAGAGAGAAAGAGAGAGGACTGGGTTTAGACCAGGCTTAACTCACAAGGCAGAAAAACTCCTTCCAGGACTCCCACATGCATAGTGGGAGCCCAGACATTCAGGCCCTCTTCCTCTTCTTTTCCCAGACCATCAGCAGGGAACTGGATCAGAAGTGGAGCAGTCAGTACATGAACTGATGCCCCTATATGGTGCTGGTTTTACCCTCTACGTCAGTGCTTGTGGCGCTGGTAGCTTTGCACACCCTTCCACGGATGCTGTGACCAGGTTATGTTCTTCTGGAATGAAATATGGAGAACTCTGGTGCACCCACAGCCTGGACAGCTCTGCACTCAATTTCTATTGTTCAGAAACTGTTCAAGGAAGAGACATTCTTAGTCTTCGTCACTATTTTTTTTTTTTGCTAAGTTGGCATTTCATAAATAATACCCACACCAAAAAATGTGCACAGGGCCAAAACAATAGAATGCCATTTTTGTCGAAACCAAGGTACGTGTGGGGGAGCAGGCCTGCAGCTCTGCTGGAACACAGCCATTGGGGGTTTCTTCACGTGGCTTCTGAGATCACCCAAAGCGTTGTCTCTGTAATATCCAACTCAACTGAAAGCTAAAACGTGGCCATGAACACCCATCTGGAGGCAGGGAACAGGGGCAAAGTGGTACAGTCCTACATACAGCAAGGTGAATGAATGCTCCATTGGTTCTCTGAAATTGCTGATCTCTGTTGAAGCCTAGCCATGACCACAAAATGTCCATTTGCATCTTTCTCAACATAAAATGCTTGATCAATTGCTTTAACAGAAGTTGCCCAGTATCCCACCTGGTTATGGAATCCAACTTTAGTGTTTCAAGTAAAGCGTAGTAGTTCCATTGATGAAATCCAAAAGTGGTTCTTTATGCTCTAGAAACTGAATTGCAAAGATTAGCTGCCTTCACTCCCCATGTGCACGCATATACACAGGACACTAAAATGGGATAAGTTTGTTTTTAGAAATCTAATGAGGAAAATATAATCTATGTGCAATCCACCCACTTCTTTCTTTCTTATTTTCCGTAACACCTTCCAGGTTTCAGGGTGAGTTATGGCTGATGTATTCTGAGTTAATTTCTGTAGTAACCTAGAAAAGCATGCTGTGTCTTCATTTTGAATATGGAAACTCAATTTTCCCAGCACCATTTCCCACAGGGTATTCTTTGTGTTGATGTCAAGAGCTAGTTGGAAAGGTGTGTGTCTGCTCCTTTCTGGACCCTCATTCTGTTCGGTGGTAAATATACCTGTTTTCAGGCCATGGTCTTACCATTTTACTTCTGTGGATTCATCACGTGGTTTGAAATAATGGAGCATGGACTTGTCAAATTTTGTATTGTGTAGGTCGCAGACTCCGCATGTGTGACTGAAATCTGCAGTGTTGGAATAAGAGGTTCAGTCCGCCTCTCACCCCTGCTAAGCAGCTTCCCATCACGAGTCCCACGGTTCTGATTCGGACACGGCCTTCCATCTGAAGCTGATGTCCATGTACTAGCTCACTCCTCTCTCTCTGAATATCTTCTCTGACTTCCACCAGTTCCTTCCTGTCCTTCCGTCCCTGGAGTCTCCATGTCACCTGTTTTTGGGTACCTGAACCAAGGTCACCTGGCATCAAAACTTTAAAGTAACATCAAATTTGCTTTAAAAACATATGTCAGTACCAATTTTTTCTCTTTCATACAGTGTTTCAGCATCTGTCCCCTTTCCTTCAGAGCTGGGACTAGATGGATTCTCTGAGAGCTAAGACTGATTCAATGTTTTATGAACATTACTTGGATTAGTATCTGCTATGAATTTAATACTCAAAAAGAACTTGTTTGATTAACGATTAATTAACTGATATACCACGCCTCAGTTTTGGGTCTCAGCAGTTTGACATACCATGGAGTCTGACAGCTTGTTTCTTAGAAGCAATGACTAGGGGACAGTGAAGAGAGGCCATATCCTATGAATCCTATGGGGTGATGTCACCCAGCTATCATTAATTATGACTGACAATTACAGAGTTATTTTATGCTTCTTATTCTCATTTGACCTCTCATATAAAAGTTGGAATGCTTTTAATAAAAGTTGGAATACTTTTAAAAAAAGTACTATCCCTAAAGGACTGTCATATTGAGTAAATGTTATAGTACAAAAACAGCACTTAGTTGCCCAATAAAGGTTTAGTTGTGATGAGATTCATAGGTAAATCTTATCATCTCCTGGTTGCCAGGATCACTTTTTTACTGAAAACCAGAAGTGGGAAGGCTGACCAAGGCAAGGACCAACCACGACCCAGATGGTCTACATTCCTTGGTCGCTTTTTTTGTAGGTTAATGCTTGCTTACAGTGACTGAATTTTTAATGAGGTTGAAGAGTTATCCGTTCCCAGAAGGCAGCCAGCTGCTTCTAGAACTTTGGGTATCATAGATGCTTTTAGATTACAAATAGAAGGTCTGTCTCAACAATTATGAGTTTAATAATCACTTTCTATTGAAGTAATAGGCGACTAATGGTGCTAATGTTTAAATTGGATGTGTGTTTAGTGAACCTCAGCATTCTACTGTTGGCATCATTTCAAATCCTAATTTAGCTACTGGGAGCAGAAAAGCAGCTGGTTTTGTTTTTGTTTGTATATTTCCTTCTTTTTAATGTGTTGGTGACCAGCAGTTTGTCACATGTAACTCTGAATCTTGGTCCATCCACTAACTAACTCTGTGACCTCAGACTGGTTACAATTCCTCTTTGATGATCCTTCTCCCTCTCTATCTAACCAAACTAAGCAGTGGTTATAGAAAATATTGTCAGGGAGTATTGCTTGTTATGCTCCAGTCTAAACAATTTATATCCATTTACCTTTGTAAATCATGTAACGATATTATGGATGGATTAATACTGAATGACAGAGTAAGTCACTTATGTGAAATCAAAACTACAAGCAATAGTCGACATGCAAAGGATGTCTGCTGAAGCATCTGCATTCTACTTTTTTTAAGTTACAGAGAGAGAGACACAGAAAAAGAGAGAGGTCTCTCAGCCACAGGCTTACTCCCCAACGTTAGCAATGGCCATGGCTACATTAGACCAAAGCCAGGAGTCAGGAGCTTCATCCAGTTCTCCCCGGTGGGTGCAGGAACCCATGGCCTGGGCCATATTCCTCTACTTTCCCAGGCATGATAGCTTGGAGTTGGATTGGAAGTTGCAGCATTGGGAATAGGAACCACTGCCCATAGGGAGATGTTCTCCTAATCCATCATACTGAAGTTGTGACTCCAGTTCTCTGCAGTTAATATATGGTCCATTGGCATTTTTGTGGCAATTCTATATGATTGGTTCACAAACTGTGAGCTCTGAAACAATGGCACCATAATAAAAGCCTGAGCAAACTTAACGAAAGCAGACATTTACTCAAGATGATACATCATCTTCCATTTAGAAAGACTGGATAGGCCTCCAGTATCCTGTCTGGAGACCATTTTGCAAAAGGAAATGGCCAAAATAAAATAAGTAATCACAGCATGGCACTAACTGGGCAGTCCTGGTGGTATACCTATCTGAGAACTGGAATTATAAGTAGAGCATAGACTTACTTGACTTAAGCTGTAAACAAGCACAGAGAGAGATTCACCTGTAATTTTCTCTTAAGAATGTCGACTCAGGGATCACCAAAGTGCCATATTGGTTTTAGTTTGCAGATCCATTTTTTTCAGTGGGCAAGTTTGCAAATGCAGAACTCACAAATAGAGAGGGTGGAAACACTAATATCTGAGTTGCTAAGCGTAATGCAACCTATTCCAGCATAACTAGCTGTGTACTTTTTCATTCCTTATGACCACATTGTAAGATGCAGATGGAAATCGACTCTGGCAGTGGATCAATATACACATGATGTCATTCCCAGCTGACTGACAAATCCAGTACCCGGAGAAGTGTGTGCTGACTGAATTAGAGCAGCAATAAAAAATAATCTCAAAGTGAATGGACTGGTTCAGATAACTACCACATCTTTGTGAATCACTAATAGGGAAAACCAATTGTGATGGGGGTTCCAAGACGTGGGATTGGTTCCCGATGAGAATCAACAA